CCTCGGTCGGCGAGTCTATTGAGTGCACCTACTTGCGCGCCTTGGAACGTCTCATTGGAATCACACATTGAAGCTGAGGTCTGTCTTGAGCTCTGACACTTGAGGTGATTCAGGTCCGCTGGTCCAGACGGACTTCCTCCAGAGCTGTTCAAGTTCGAGGGCGAAGTATTTGTTAATCAGCTAACATCTCTGTTCTCTAAGATCTGGCGTGAAGAAACAGTTTCTTCCGCTTGGTGCGAATCAAGCCCCGACCTTCAAGAAAAGTGGCCGTACCCAATGTGCTTATCACCGAGGAATCACTATAATGTTTGTTGCCTCCAATCTGTTAACATCCATTCTACTCCGCAGACTAGCCCTGATCCGAGAATTGCACTTCCGTGAAGAACAGGCTGGTTTCCGCCCCGGTCGAGGGCGTATAGACCACTTGTTTACGCTCCACCAACTCCTTGGAACGCGTCATCTTTACCGTTAGCCCACTACGGTTGTTTTTCTGGACATCCGAGCCGCTTTCGACTCCGACGATCAGCCAGCTTTACGGGGTTGCTTACAAAAGTATGGAGTACCCGAAAAGCCATTTCTATGTTCATGGTCAGAGAAGTCAGTATGTTCGGAGGTCAGAGGGAGAAAAGGTTCGTGATTCCCACATTGACCACTTTGTGAAACACTTACAAAAGCAGATGTTTTGGGGGTGCTTTAGTTATTACGGCGTCGGCGCCTTGCATCCAGTCCAGGGCATGATGCGCTCTCCACAATATATAGAAGTTCTCCAAAGAAGAGCTGTTCCAGAACTAAAAAAGACATTTCCTGACGGATCTGGCGTATTTCAACAAGATCTGGCCCCGTGCCACACATCAAAAATGGTCAAGACTTTCTTCAATACTAATCAAATAACCATCTTGGACTGGCCTGGGAATTCACCAGATTTAAAGCCCATTGAAAATATGTGGTCTATTTGCAAGCAACGCCTTCGTGGCATGGACTGTACGACAAAGGAGAAACTTAATCAAGCTTTAATTCAAGTTTGGTACAGGGACCCAAGATGGGCTAAAGTTTGTTCAAATTTAGTGGATTCCATGCCAAACCGCATTAAAATGCTACTCAAAAGTCGAGGAGGTCATGTTGTGTATTGATGTGAGTATATTAGTGCAATTCATTATAACAATTTTGAAAAAAAGGTTTTTCAGTGTTTTCGCAGTTTGTTTCAATTAATGTGCACAAGGATGTATATGGCCATCCTTCGAGCATTATATGGCAATGTCTCAGGTAAAGTGAGGGCTCATGGTAAGCTCTCTTCACCTTTTGCCGTCACTAGCGGTGTATGACAGGGTTGCAGCATGTTCCCGTTTCTCTTCAATTTTGCCATCGAGGATGTCCTTTTAAACGATCTCGAGGGCTTTCAGGGTTTTGGTGAAGAGCTTCCTCCTGGCAACCGCGTGACCGATTTAGATTATGCTGATGATATTGCCTTGCTTGGTGATGACGCACAGAGCACACAAGCCGTTCTAAACCGCTTGGCGATTGAAGCATCAACATATGGAATCACCTTTGCCCCTACAAAATGCTTTCCTGGTCCTGGATTGGCATGTACCTGCTCCAGTGCTCACGCCTCACGGTACGCAGCTTGAAGAAGTGGACAACATTGTGTACCTGGGAAGCTGTGTCTCTGTTGATGGTAGCACTGGAGAAGAGATTTCCCTCCGCATTGCCAAAGCCCGTTCGGCATTCGCCAACCTAAGACATCTGTGGCGACGCCGCGACATTTGACTGTTGGTAAAGAGCAGGGTCTACAACGCCTGTGTTCGCGCGGTGCTGCTGCATGGGAGTGAGTCCTGGCTGATTCGTGTGAATGACTTGCGTCGGATTTCGGCCTTTGACAATGGATGTCTGCGGATAATAGCTCGAGTGTGGTGGATGTACCACGTACGCAAAGATGATGTTAGACGTCGCGTCTTGGCTAACAAGGGACTTCCACTTGACAGATTGGTACCACTGCGCCAACTGAAGTGGCTGGGCCACGTTTTACGTATGCCATGCGAACGGCTGCCTCGACGCGCTCTCTTCGCTCGCATAGGACCAGGCTGGAAGAAATCACGCGGTGATCAGCCTATCACGTGGCGACAAACGATTAAAGCGCTGACTTCCAGTTTGGCTGTCGCAGGTCCCGTGCGTCTTCCGGGCTGGGTGATCAAACATGAAGAACACCGCTGGCTGGAAACTCTTACGGAGATGGCACAGAACCGGGCTCAATGGAAAATGGGTACAAATGCTTATCTTGATTTGCTTGATTTACAATGCAAACATTCAACAAACAAGAAAAGATAAAACAGCGTGTGAAAAAAAGAAAAGAGACAAAAAACTTTTTTGTAACTTTCATTGTTTTCGTTGTGGTTTCTATATTTATTACTTCCGTTTCATGGTTTTCGCTGGCTCTGTGTCTATTTTACAGACTGCTGATAATATATATATATAACCAAGTGCAGGAATACCAATGACTGTCTGATTGCGCCATGTCTGGTACGGTCCCCAACCATTTGTATGGACCATTTCGAGCCCCTCATCCAAGAAGACGGCACCCACCAGTCTGACAAAGTCACGAAGTCAATTGCTGTATACCTCTATGACACGTCATGGACTGGCCACCTCATGGTTTCGCATGACTTGGCGCATCCACGGCATATAATGCCTGCCGAGGGTGGCGGTCAACGGGCATACGGAGGACATGACCTTGCCAACGAAACGGCTGAACTTTAGGAAACACGCCAGTTAAACACCATATGACTTTGTGTTAACTTTCGGACAGCACTGCTCACGCGGGTTCCCCCCCCCCCCCACCGCCCAGATGTGAGTAATACCTCGCAGGAACCGGTGGCTAAACACAGCCATTTATTTAATTGCTCCACTGCAAACTAACCAGGTCTCTTATCCATACAGTTACACCGGCCTTACCACAGCGGTATACACGCTACCTTTTACTGACACATTAATATCTCGCCGCCTTCGTAGATGGTTGAGCCTAAGAAAACGTATATGGGTCTTGCTCACACGGGAAGTAACTTTCTCAGTGATGTGACCACCAGAAGTGACGTAGCTACAAGGTAATCGAGAGAACGTAACGCTTCCAGTGGTTGTTTGATGATAGTTAAAACCGGTGGCATGTCAGTCCACTGCGGTAACAGTACTTTCACTTTGAAGGTGCAGAGCAGATGACGTAGTGTGTAGCACTATGCATCAGTCTGTTCAGTAGTGCTTGGATGGCTCTGGACAGTCGTCCGCATGCTCCAGGTTTACCAGTCGGTCACCCGGAAAAACTTCCACTCTGGAAGAATCGGGTCGTTTCTGATCATTTCAATCACAAAGTCGAAGAGGAAAGGAAATTCAGCACAACCCTGGCGAAACTCACTTGTCAACGGGAGCTCAGGAGACGACTTTCCGCATACGCTTATCCCGCCTCGGGAGTCACGGTAGAGAGACATCAGAAAGGAAAGGAATTTTCCAGGCATTCGGTTCACGGATATGCACTGCCATAGGCTGGTACAATCAGATTAAATTGACGACGATACGAAATAACACTCAGATTATTGACCTCATCTGTTAATAGCAACCGAGAAGTAACTGCATCATGAAATTGTTGAACTACAGACTCCGATACCAGGTGACGAATGAGAAACTTCCAAGTTCGGCAGTTCTACTAAGACCGAGTGAGGGCGCCACAAGGGTTATTGAGTAAGTCGATTTATTGGTTGGTGTTAGTAGGTGGTGATGTTGACACAAAGGTTCCCATCGATACATAGTTGATGAAACTGGTCTACGGTATCAAGATCAGTATAAAGAAGGCCGTCTATGGGACTACACGTGGTACACTTGAAATCAACCGTCCAACGTCGCTGGTAACATACGCAGCTTGGAAATCCCACTCTATCAACGTTAAAATTGTCAGGCGAGCGACGGTGCGAAAGCCGTTCCTGATCATTTCACTGATATTTGGTAAAATCGGGTGCAACAGGACAGTATCACTTATTCTCCTTCTAACTGAGATACGATTAATCAGCTGTAGCAACCATATTCATGAGATGAATTCGAGGAACTCGTCCGCCAGACTCTAATTCGAAAAGCTAATATGTCGTTGTGTGAATCACCAATAAGAACTTGGTTCGAAATGGGTAAATACGGGAAGTTCGTTAAACACACATGGTATATGTGATGGGGGCTGGAAATACTGGTGATTGGAAATGCTGTAATGCCGATCGAACGTCACAGGCCAGACCGATAGGGATTAAGCATGTTGCCGGAAGCAGATTGATCAGCCAATCAAGAAATAGTTGGCCCGTAATTGCGTCCAGCTTGCAAGCATCCACTGAACGTGCAAGTGACCAATCAGGCGCCAGCAGGCGAAGGAGCGCATACTCGTGCACCCTTGAGCCAAGGCTTGTGGCATTGGACCGCCAATCGTACATGTACTAAGAAAGTCAAGGTGATTTTAGACAGAGTGAACGTGGCAAGCAAGCATAAACCAATGGAAAAGGAGCCAGTGACACAATGCAAATAACAGGGATGGGCTATTGAAACGGACTGTTGTAAACAGTGTATCTACTCTATAAATATACCAGCGTAATCCTACTAAACGAATTCGTGATCGCGTTCCAGTCTTCTTGCTTCCCGGAGGGCAACACGACAGTATCCAGATGTGATTATCCGGAAAAGTGTGACTTTAGGGATGCATTGTGAACTGTGGCCATATGCAAAGGCAACAGAAATGTTGGAAGAGCCTTGACAGTTACACAGGAAATGTACTGCGTAATTCGACAAACCTTCTATAATACACTTTTTGATGAGCCGAGAGTGAGTCTACTGGTGTAAGCGATGCACCAACAATGCAAGTGTGCTGAAAAATTTGTCGTTCGCAGTAATGGAGTGGATCAAACGGTGGTATGTACAACCGATAAAAATGCGAGGAAATACGGCAAAGAAGGGGAGGTGAAGGTGAAGGGGTGAAGACTCACTTCGTAACGCATTTTGTTCACATTCGTAGCAGATCGGAAGAGGAAGGTGGACTGGGAAAAAGTGTCGGATGAGGTCACACGACGTTTTGGTTTATTTTCCTCCGTGATAAGCAGCATTTGCTCGAAGAGAAAAACACGCGATTCGACAAATTTCAAATTTCCTGTGTATAAGCCGGTTAGCTCTGACGACGCTGTCAGTTCGCTTGTGTTAGTACTGACAATGCCGGTCGAAGTGGAATCCATAGACGTTCCCGGACTTGATGGAACCGTAGAACGCGTGGAAAGGGCTGCAGAATTGTGCTTCGATGCGGGATGCGCATCGAAGCATTCCTGTAGGATGTGCCTGTACCCTGTCACGGCTTCCAAAAGCTGATCTCGAGTAGTCGTGGCCACCAGCAAATCACCGCGGATAAGAATGTTTCCTAGGGCGGTTATGACACCAGGGAAGCCCTCGATACGAGCAGCCTTAAGGAGCCGAAGAGAATAAGGGAGCACACAGAGTAAGCAAAAGGGAAAGAAAGGGGGAAAAGCGAAAGGAGTTAGACATTATGTTGTTTCTGAAGACAACCAAGGAGACTGTTGGATCAGCAGATGAAAGAACAAGTACAGATGGTTAATGTGAGGTGTGGGAAAAATGTAAATAAGGTTAGTGGTTAAAACGATATGAACCACGAGATAATGCTATCTCGAGGGCCTGTTATAAGTGAAAAGTGAGCAGACAAATTAGTAAAATTTTCGTTTACAAGCGGTTCAGATCTATTTCCCCAGGTCGTCGGTAGGTGATATGCGTCATTAGTAGTACGCCGGTCCGCAGTACGGACGCTACGCAGCCGCGCAATCACCACCGATCGCACTTGGGCTAAAGATACTGCAAGGGTCGTCCTGCCTCTACGCAGGCTCCAAACCGTGCCGTCGGATTACAAACCAAATTCGTTATCTTTAGGCTACGGAACCGCGATTCTAGCGAAAAGTGGAAGGAGCACTTCGTTATTCAAAACCGTGCGAATGCTCAGAAGTTACAGAACCATAAGGGCAACATGATTTCCATAATTACACACACAGTAAAATGATGGTTCCAGAAACTAGATTGATGTGTCAAGGGGTGTAATCTGTAGTGCTATTTCGCGCTCACTTAACCGGAAAGGAAAAAAGTTAGTCAGGAATAGTCCATAAAGTCAGTCGCACGTGCAACGCAAGTCTTATAAGAAGATGCACGATTCATTAAATACGCTCACGTACCATATACGTTCTGCTGCTTAGGGAAACTGATGAGACTGTTAAATCATGTCATATAAGTGTACCGTTGACTTCCCTATGTTTTTAGATCAACACCAACAATCCTTTGGGCCGTTATTTAGGATTGTATGAAACGTGTGTAACAAAATGGCACATTGCAAATCGGAAAACAACAACACATGTTAACAAGTGCAAACAAAGGAATTGTGCGGAATGCACAAAAATAAAGTGTTTAGGGACCAGGTTAAGGCGATATGAAAGAAAGCATTGTAGGTTTAAGAACAGTGATCAAAAATATCTTAAAAAAGTATACGCCGCCATTCCAGGTGCTAGTGAATACTGCGATAATTGATGACAATGATGGAACGCTGGATAATTAAAAGAGTCGAACTGTATCGTCTTTGTGGGTGTGGTGAGTTTGGAGACAAGTTGCGCTGTTGTACAACATCCATCAGTACGAGAACAACATTATAATGAGGAAGCTGAGAAAGTCGTTAACTAGGATAAGGATAACTGGATCTACGGAGTTATTTTACACTAGTAGTAGTTTAATACAAGTGGACAAATAACGTTTATCAACAAAATACAAGCTGTACAACATAAGCACCCTCGCGTTTACACAAGTTTCCTTAACAACCATATCTACCAAGATAGCGAGCAGACAATAACAAGAGTAATAGATAAACTCAGTTTCATTGTCAATGAGTGTTTTACGTAAGGTGCGCCACGCCAAATAAGAGAAGTCGCGCAGTCGCAGAATCGTGACTGATGCGTGCACATTATCCATAGCTGCAGTGCCGGTGGATGACTAATGACATTCGGTCAACTAGTCGGTCGTTTGTTTGAATCAAAATCATACAGTTCAGTCAACTACCTAATCATAGTACGTAGCAAACAGGTGTTTCCCTTTTACAGAACGCAACGTACGGATAGAAACCTTTGAAGACACTGCCGCAGTAGGGCGGCGGTAGTCGTGAGCTATCCACTTTGGGGTTCTCCAACATACACAGCAGGTGATATGAAGCGCACAAAGGAAGGAAACGCTAAAACCGCAAGGGGTCTCATTGTAAGCGATTTAATTTCTGTTAATAGGTAACTGATGGTTCCTTGCGAGTTTGTAACTCTGGGATCGATGGGACGCAGAAGACTCTGTGAGTTACAAAGTCAGGAACATTTTGAAAACAATAAGGATTAAAGTAGCTTGTATGTTTACCGACAAACGATATACGGCCCCTAAGCAGGAGCGATAGTTTGTGCACAGAAGTAATGTCGTGGCTTACAAGGTAATAAAAAAGATGAACAATAGAAATTTGGATCATAAACTTCCCCACGGATCATCGGCCCGACTACTCAAACTGCAAAAAGTGTGAACATTTGCACCTGTGTTTTCAAATATTCTAGGTAGCGAAACCCGGAATCGGTCAATGGATAAGAATAGAGGGCAAGTTGACTGTAGGCCATTGGCTGCTCATAGGTAGTTTAGACCAGGTTAGGTCAATGTTTTTGGTGATTTTTGTGAGCCAAGTGACTTTAATACGTTCGGTATAGTGAGGAACCTACAGAAGAATCCGGTATGTGACATGGTTGGCACTAGTGAATACCTGTAGTCAGTTATACAGATCGGCATTTCTCAATAAAAAGAAAGTCGATCAGATTGTATGCGTAGCACCAGCGGAGAGGATTCACGCACGGTTAGACAAACAAAGTTGAGGGTTATATAAGGGGGCCAAGAAATTTCACCAATACTTGTGCGAAATTTGTACAAACCGCAGACTCTTATAAACTTTGATTGACAAGAAAAATGGCATCAAGTAGATGGCGTCCCATTGCATGTTTTTGGACTACAACTACAGTCTCATAAGTTGCTGGAAAGCGAATGGATTAGCCGACGCTCTTAGCCGCTTATCGTTAAGTCGGCTACCCAACTGAGTGCTGAAACCCACTGAAATGTTTCCTCTGCTGCAATATTTAGATGGAAACGAGGTGCTAAGCGTAGATATCCGTCAAGAAACATGACGGAATTTACTACTTGCCATGGTCAATTGCTAAGTCTCCAAGGAACGGCCTGATAAATGTGATCCGCAGTTGCTGTCATAATTCAATCGAATCTCCGCGCTTAGTCTCGAAGATAGCTGTCCACTCCGGGGATCTAGATCGCTTACTGCACTCCGATTGCGGCCACATATTCTATAAGAGCTGCACGAAACTCACGCAGGAAGCATAAAGATGAAGGGACCTGCGCGATCATACGTGTGGTACCCCAATATTGACAGGGACATCGAGGAATTTATCGACACTGCGACGCCTGTCAAAGCACCCAAAGAAGCACCCCACTAGTACAACTAATTCCATGGAAGTGGTGCAGTAAACCGTGGGAGCATGTGCACGCTGAGTTCTTTGGCCGGCTCTATGGAAAAATGTACCTCCTTTTGATTGAAGCCTACTCCAACTGGATTGAGATGCTTCCGCTAACCCATGCCACTTCTGAGACAACCGCTTACTGCAGGCGGACGTGTTTCAGCACAAGCCGTATATTACACAGGCTGGTAACAGACAATGATTCGATGTTTACTAGTGTTGGGAAAAGGTCATATTTCCCAAGAATTACATTAGAATCAGCCAAAACAATGAACTATTGATAGCCACAATGGTTAACTTTCAAACGGTTCGCGCCATCTGTTCCCGCTTCAAACGAGCATTGTGACTGGCTGATTTGACAAGGCCGCTGAATGACCTGAACCAATTATAAGTTTCCACTACTTTCTGGTCTGTGTTGGCGTGCTAATAGATCTCGTGTCTGAGGTCTTATCTTCTCTCCTTACGGGATTGGAGCTATAGAATGGTGCTGGATTCGTGTTGCATTTGTGGTTCTGTGCCGTGATTTCGATGTGAGTGTTCAGTTTCCGCACGAGTTCCACCCAAATCGCGACAAGATCGTAACAACTAGCCAGGAATTTCAGAAATTTCTGCAAGCAAACGGAATATGTCATGTGAAACCCGACCCTTATTACCCAGCCTCCAATGGACCAGCTAAAAGGGGAGTCCACATCGTCAAGAACGCGTTATGAAAACAACCACCGGCTCCACTGCGAACAAATGTAGACAGACATTTTCGGTTACCGCTCCACATCAAACGAAATGACCGGTAAGAGCTCCGGTAAGCTGATGTTCGGACGGAGATTAAGGGATTGACTAAACCAGGTACTTCCTGAGCATATATATATATATATATATATATATATACATTTATATATATGGCGGGAGAGCCTATGGTTCGATGAGGCTGGTAGTGGCTAGATCCTGACAGATGGTCTACCCATTGCTGCTACTGTTGTGCCATTGGCTCTGGTCCTGGGCGCCTCCACGTGGCGACCGCTGGGTTACCACCTTCTCTCTGCTAAGATCCAGGACACCAATCCGCATGAGTCAGTGAAGTGACAAGGTGCTAAACTCGCTGCCTTTCTGGTTCTTTTAATCGAAGGCTTTGGCTGAGGACCCGAGTCGTTCTCCTGTCAGGTGTGGGCGCCCTGCCAGCATCCTAGTCCATCCTCTTCGGAGGTTGGGAAGTGGTCGACGGCCCTCTTCCCGTAAAACCTAGCCATGGGACACAACAGGTCTACGGGTTATAAGATCACAGCTCGATTGGCGTAGAGCACGAGCGCCACGCATTATCTCTGACGGTGGAAGGGCATCTCCGAGTGTTCAATGGTTTGCTACTGCCCGCCTCAAGCCAGGCAGCCCATGGTCAAATTGGCGCAAAGCCGCTAAAACCCTCCTGCGTCTGGCCGTGATCGCAGGTGTACCCTACTACGGTCGTAAAACATATATAAATAGCCCCAGTACCTCAAAGGCTGCGTGTGACGGCCGTCAAGCATATTCCAATCTGTCTCTGCAATCACATTCCCGAGCTGGTTCTGGTCCCCACTACCTTGTGGGACAGGCTATTGAGCCAAAGGCTCCGGGTGGAGTCCCTTAAGCAAACCACCGAAGCACAACGACCATCTCGCGTGCGATTGCCCACCAATGCAATCGTATGCCTACGCGCAAAGCACTCAGCATCGGGTGCTGGAACGTGCGCACACTACTGGACCGGAACGCGAGTGAGCACCAGAAACGACACACTGCGCTGGCGGCGATGGAACTGGCGCGCAACCACATCGATATTGCAGCGCTCAGTGAAACCCAGCTCGCTGAGCAAGGTATGTTGCATGAAACAGGTGCTGGATACA